ATAGTGGCGTGGCCTTGGCGCTTGCGTTGTCATCGCAGCCACATGGTAGCATCCCACGTCCGCAGGCACGGTTGGAACTGGTGCAGGGGCCCGCGATGCAACGTCTGCGTACGAAGGCACTGGGAAGCGCACAGGAGACGGGGCATGTACAGCGCTTGTCATTGATGCCAGTTCGTCCTTGATTATCTCTCGCAGGTTGGGAGGAGGTGTGTGGACAGACGCAACGGTAGGGTTGCCTGGAATAAGGCCGTGAAGTTCTTCTCTGACAATTGTGCGGATAAGGGCCCGCAACTCATGCTCTTTGGTAAAGCGAGCGTCGCAGGAGGCGTGTGGAAGGCGCACTGGAATAAAGTGCGTCCAGGCGTTGGCATGTAGTGATGACGTCCCGGACGGTAGTCGGATTCTGAATCATGAGAGCATTGAAGGCCACAGAGTTGATACCTTTCAGTAGATGTCAGATGTCGGTCACAAAATGACATGACGGAGGCCGATCGAGAGCCAGAATATCTTCAATGTAGGACGTATACGATTTGTCGTCCCCTTGGATGCGGGTAGCGAGCTTCTGTTTTGCTACTACAGAACATCCTGCAGACGTGCCAAATACCTGACGGAGATGCCCCGTGAAGGCCGACCAATTGGAGAAGTCGCTCTCGTGGTTGTAATACCAGGTTTTAGCGACGCCATCGAGGTAAAAAGGAACGTAGCGCAGTTTGTGCACCTCGTCCAAATAATTACAAACGCTGGTTCGATCATAACTGTCAAGCCATTCTTCGACGTCTTCGTTGCGAAGGCCGGAAAATACCGGAGGGTCTCGATGAGAGGCACTCACGGTGTAGTGAAGCCTAAGTGGCTGAGAAGGAGCGGTTGCAGCAGCGGGCGGGTTGGGTTCTGCCATCGCTGTTGCTTGAGGGCACAACCGTCGACCAGACCGGAGCTCCAGTGGTGACGGGTAGAGCAGGAGGACGTGGGAACCAAAGCACGCTCCACCATTTATGAGACCACGTCCGGTACGGCAGCAACCAGGTTGTCCTTTTTTAATCCAGACGCACGAGCCAGAGAGCCAGCCCGCGTGACATACGATGATGATCACTACAATGGTTTGGTCATACAGATGAAGATGAAGTACATAGTCAGCGCTCACAATATATATATCGCAATAAAGGACAATATAAATTGATTGATATCTGAGGTTTAACGTCCCAAAATCACCATACAATTATGAGAGACGCCGTAGTGGAGGGCTCCGGAATTTTCGACGTGTACCCAAATCTGAGCACACAGGCCTACAACATTTCCGCCTCCATCGGAAATGCAGCCGCTACAGCCGGGATTCAATCCCGCGACCTGCAGGTCAGCAGCCGAGAACCTTAGCCACTAGAGCACCTCGAGGACAATATAAAACACACTGGTAAAGATATGCGTTATGTAGTAGGTGCGCACGGTATCTCAATAACAAAGTAAACTGCATTGATCGCTCCATTAATTTTGACTAGTAGAGTTCAAGAAAAAGGCACCCACTACACACACTTAACATATCGTAGTGTAGTCATAACAAAGTTTTAGTCTCGTTTAATTAAATGTTTGTAGCAACTAACAAAAACATTTCATTGAAAATTGCGACATAATTTGCAGGTTTTGTAAAAACGCCAAGCCTGCGCAGTAGGCGCAGCTCAGTCACAGCGGATGCTAGAAAGGCGGCCTTTCAGGGCCTTTTCAAAACACTCTTTGGGTAACTACTGCAAGCGCACTTGCTTTATTCCCACTATAGCACTAATAATAAACTTTTTGATGGTATGCCGGCATTCGCAATGCCATTTTTTGTCGTTTTTCTGAGAAGCGTGGTATCCGCTAAACACTTGCAAGGACTTTTGTGCCAATTGTTCATGCAGTGGCTGACGACGATGAGAAATTATGGCTGAAGTGGGTATGCGCGACTGTTAGTAGAAAAAAAAGAACAAGCTTTTGAATACGTTTCGGCATCTAGTACCAACAAACGTAACAAAACTGCATTTTCTATGGGTACCGGGCCACCGCGGATTATATTTGAACGAAATGGTGGACTCCTCAGCAGCAGTATCTCTGAGTGGATCCAACATCCCAGTTTTCCCAGATACGGCTTACGTGGCAGCGCTAAGGTTCCGAAATGCTTGTCTGCAATGGGGAATAGGTAATTTGGATAAATTTAAAGATTTCGATCATTTAATGTATTGCTGGAATAAACAGTGGTGTGTATCTCGCCGGTTAGGGGTCATTTATACGAGATTGCGCTGTACAATTCCACAACTAAATTATTACCTTAACAAAGCTCGACTGAAGGCGTCACCGCTTTGCATTTTTCGCTACGAAATTGAAACAACTGAACATTTCTTTTTGTTCTGTCATTGTTACTCTTATCAGATAAAAAGATTTTTAGTAGCCCCATTAGAAAAGCTAGAAATAGAAGTAAATCTACCAGTACTTTCATCACTTGGCGGCACTTCATTTGGTTACTGCCACAGGGATATATTCTCCACTGTGTTTGATTACATCAATGCAACTAAAAAATTACCGCGCTAGTGAACCCTAACCTTTTCAGATCTTTAGTTTATAATTCGTAGCGATGTCTGCTAAAAACAAGAGATGGTTTGACCGCTTGCTCAGCAAACATTTTTGTTTATCGGTAGTATTATCTCAACCAATTTTTCAGATTGGCTTTAATTTTAGTTTAGTTTCATTTAAGTATCCTGCTGCCCGGTTCTTTCTTGGCCCATCCCCCTCTGTGGGTGAGCGCCATCTATCTGAGGTCATCAGCATCAGCATCAGTTTGGAGCATTGGACGGCCCACTCTGTACGCTATTCGCATTGTGCGACGACTGGTCGTTCTTTCGCTGTTGCAAAACGCTTTATAAGTCGCATTAACGCGATTGCTTTCCCAATATCAAGCCTGCCTAAGGTAAGTTTGACAACAAGTCGCAAGAACTGGTGTAGCTTAGTGGTTTGATACTGGGTTGCACCCTGAGGACCCAGGCTCGAGCCCCACTGTGCCATTTGTGCTAGGTCATGCCTGCCTAAGGCATACTTGACAACTAGTTACAAGCATCAGTGGTAGAATATAAGCTCGCACCCAGCAAACCCGGTTTAAAGCCCCAGTGTGTCATCCGTGCAAGGTTTTTTTTTCTATATTCGGGCAATGTGGTTACGGACACCGGCGGCGGCGGCGGACAACAATGACTGCGCCTGAGGCGAAAAGTGATCTCATAGCAGCTTTCGCTGTAAAAAGACAAAATTACACCAATAGCCGATAAGCCGACACAAGTTCCTCTGTCGAAGAATCAAATTACCGAGGAAAAGGTAAAAATAGCTTTTATTAAAAACGGCAAGATTAGGAACAACCCCAAATATCGATAGCTAGACTTTAGCCATATACCGACGCACTCATGTACGCTGCGAACAAATACAGGTTGCTGGCTATTGCCTGGAGAACGTCACACTATTTCTCGCGTTTTTCCTAATCACCTAATTTGGCATGTATAATTAACAAACATTAGAATATACAAATCTTGGCAAAAAATTTCATATTGAGTTGTAGATCAATTCACAAAACATCCGGATAGACTGTTCCTAACTTCACACCTATCAAGTTCAAAAGTGTCTGGTAACCATAAATGCCGTCGAAATATGAAAAGCACCAAGGAACAGGCTCGCATGTGCATTTTGGCTGCAGTGCTCTCTTAGATTTTACTCATTTTCTTACGCTACAAGTGAACAGCCAGCAATGCAAAAACGACTCACCTTGCCCCGCTATGAGGAGTGTACAGGTCTTTCACAGAAGTAGTTTCATACATAAGCGTGGCACAATAGCTGACTGCCACACAAAATGCGTGGGTTCGATTCTCCCTCTACAGCGACTTTTATTCTTTCTGTCACTACAATATTTGTTTGCCTACACCGCCGACAATTTTCTCCGACACTAGTTCCTTAACGCTATCACGTTAAGATTTCCAAAGTATATAATCGACGTCCCTAGCTCGAAATAGTCACATAACTTCGTCATCCATTCAGGTATCGTAATACCAAATTTCGTATATATGACTCTAACGAAATGGAAGCGAGTGATCATGAGCGTGGCATGTAGTCATGTTACATGACACACAGGTCATGATTTTCATGTTAGGGTCTGTCGCTTGTGTTGCCATGCAATGATGTCATACCATATGGCTGATATCCTCTTTCTGAGGATCATGACAAGCGAGTATGTGCGTGACTGAATGCAATTGCTTTGTAGCTTACGTGACAAGTGTCTCGCGCTATCATTGCGATAACCTGTTAATCGTCTTCTTCATGCACAAGTGCCCTCTCTTGGGAATCACGGCGTGTGTCGAGTAAAGGAGACGACCATATGGGTGGCTAGATCGACATAGACACGATAGATAATAGGAAAATAATATAGAAATTTTATAGCAATGATATAGAAATAATATAGAAACATAGATAACGTTGACATTTAATAGCTTAACAGTTCTCTTTCACGCAGAGCTCTAAGCGCAGCGGATTTATAGTTGCACCTATTGCATGAGTATGCACCGATCAGTTTTCATGAGTACTTTCTTTGCCGCACCTCCGAAGTCATTAGTCGGTTTTTTGCGAAGCCTCGACCTTTTGCTTACGACCATGCTTGCACGTCTTGTCTTTTAAAATAAATAATTACTAACGAACTCCGCTCCTTTATTCTGGCAACTTTATAAAATCGAAAAAATAAACTGCGGCTGTCCCATCGCGACGTCAGCTCAGAAGGTCCTGCTCACAATGATCCATTGTTAGAGTGCACACAGCTTCTTCAACATCATGAACAGAATTTATTAGGAGCACACAAAAAAAAATAATAAAGTCTATACCTGAACTAGGAACAAGCTTCTTTGCCCTTTCCAGTTTCTTTTTTTTTTTGTTTCTCCAATATTTCAAGGCTGGACAGAGAAAATACTAAAGCGTGCAGCATATTTTTGACTCACAAATATTGGCAGCCGCATTTCGACGCGGACAAAAGAGCGTTCCGTATGAAAGCAGAAAAATAAGCATTTGGCTGTGTCATTCACGCATAAACTGTTCTGGTCACAGCTACTTTCTCAGAAGGAACTGGTGGTCAAGGTTGGCACACGCAATGAGTTTTCTGAAGCATTTCGATCCTTGTATGATACCTCGGACGAGGGTAAGTACTCTATCTTCCACAAAAAAATGTACTGTGCAGTTAACAGATAAGCTATCTGATATAAACTTTTGACACACACTTTTTAAATGCGAAGCATTTCTTAGCGAACTGCGGTGACTTTGAGCATATTGTCACGTAAGAGTGAGGGTTGCCCGAAGACAGGAGACCGGGAGGTTAGTAGAAATAGAAGGAGATCCGTTTATTTGGCGGACTTGCGCCCACTGAAGGAAAACAGACGCGCCGGCTTAGCGGGTGGCGAACAGCGCGTTCGACGGCCGTCGGGGAACAGAATGTCCCACTGGGACGCAAGGCGCGTTTCACCATCCGAGATACAGTCGCCGTAGCGTCTGGCGCTACGGCGACTCCTCGCGGCATTGCTCCCCTCCTCAACGTAAGCATCGACCAGATGCTTTGTTTAAAATAAAACCAAAACAAAAGGACAGCCTGTGCGAAAGTAAATGGCAAATAAGCACGAATCACGCACACATAAACAAAACAAGAGATGCAAGCAGGGAGCCTCCTTTAGCGCGCATGATAGGGCTTCAAACGGGCGACGTGTACCACTTCTTGTCGTGCGCGGCGTCGTTGGGATAAGCTAGCCCCATCAGGGACCACTTCATAGTCCACTTCACCCTCTTGACGGATGACTTTGTATGGTCTAGTGGCTAAAGTACTCGGCTGCTGACCCGCAGGTCGCTGGTTCGAATCCCGGCTGCGGCGGCTGCATTTCCGATGGAGGTGGATTGGTTGTAGGCCCGTGTACTCATATTTCTATGCACGTTAAAGAACCCTAGGTGGTCTAAATTTCCGGAGCCCTCCACTACAGCGTCTCTCATAATCATACGGTGGTTTTGGGACGTTAAACCCCACAAATCAATCAATCAATCAATCAACGGATGACTTTGTATGGGCCGAAATAACGGCGCATGAGTTTTTTGCTTAATCCTCGGCGGTGAACGGGCGTCCAAACCCAGACTTTGTCACCTGGCCTGTATGTTAAATCGCGTCTCCGCAGGTTGTAGCGTCTTGCGTCGTTTCGCTGTTGGTCTTTTATGCGCAGACGAGCAAGCTGCCGGGCTTCTGCGCGCTGAAGGTAGGCGGCCACGTCTAGGTTGTTTTCATCGGTGACATTAGGCAGCATGGCGTCCAGGGTAGTAACGGCATCCCTCCCATGGACGAGATTAAATGGTGTCATTTTAGTGGTCTCCTGCACCGCGGTGTTGTAGGCGAAGACCACGTAAGGCAGAATTAAGTCCCAGGTCTTGTGTTCTGTGTCCACGTACATAGCGAACATATCAGCAATGGTCTTGTTCAAGCGTTCCGTGAGACCATTTGTCTGCGGATGGTACGCAGTTGTTCTTCGGTGATCTGTATGACTGTAATGTAAGATTGCCTGAGTAAGATCAGCCGTAAACGCCGTTCCCCTGTCTGTTATTAGTACCTGAGGTGCGCTATGACGGAGGAGAATTGATTCGACAAAAAATTCGGCAACTTCTACGGCTGTGCCGTTCGGAAGGGCCTTAGCTTCAGCGTATCGGGTAAGGTAATCAGTGGCCACTATGATCCACTTGTTACCGGATGTTGACGTGGGGAAAGGTCCAAGCAGATCCATACCAATCTGTTGGAAGGGTCTCGACGGGGGTTCAATTTACTTGAGAAATCCAGCTGGTTTTGTTGGAGGTCTCTTCCGGCGCTGACAATCACGGCAACTCTTGACGTACCGCGCAACATCTGAGGAGAGGCGGGGCCAGTAGTATCGTTCTTGAATTCTGTGGAGTGTGCGTGTAAAATCGAGGTGGCCTGCAGTGGGTTCGTCATGTAACGCTTGTAAAATTTCTTCTCTGAGGCTGCTTGGGACGACAAGAAGGTAAGCTGCCTTATTCGGTGCGAAGTTCTTTTTAACTACCACCCCGTTTTGCACACAGAAGGAGGATATCCCACGCTTGAACAGTGCAGGCGGTATGGAGGCCTTTCCTTCGATGTAGTTGATCAACTGTTGTAGGATCGGGTATGAGCGCTGCTGTAATGCAAAGGTGCTGCTGCTGATAGGCCCAAGAAAGGCATCGTCGTCTTCATGGCTTGGTGGTGCACCGACAGGGGCTCTTGAGAGGCAGTCTGCGTCGGAGTGCTTACGACCAGATGTGTAGACTACCTTCACGTCAAACTCCTGAAGCCGTAGGCTCCATCGAGCGAGGCGGCCAGAAGGGTCTTTCAAACTGGCCAACCAGCACAACGCATGATGGTCCGTTACGACCTTGAAGGGTCTGCCATACAAGTATGGGCGGAATTTCGAGGTGACCCATACTATCGCAAGACACTCCTTCCCAGACGTGGAATAGTTCACTTCCGCTTTTGACAGTGAGCGGCTTGCATACGCGATGACGCGCTCGCAGCCCTTGTGCTTCTGAACGAGAACGGCACCTAAGCCGACGCTGCTGGCGTCTGTATGTATCTCAGTTTCGGCATTTTCATCAAAGTGACCCAGCACAGGCGGCGACTGTAAACATTGTTGAAGTTCTTTGAATGCCTCACGTTGCTCAGCTTTCCATTCGAAAGGGGCGTCCTACTTGGTAAGCTGCGTCAAATAGTCAGCAATGTGTGAGAAGTTCTTGACGAAGGCCGGTAATAGGCGCACAGTCCTAAGAATCGGCGCACTGCTCTCTTATCTTGCGGCTGAGGAAACTGTGCGATAGCGGCTGTCTTCTCGGGATCTGGTCTTACGCCATCTTTGCTTATAACATGGCCAAGGAACTGTAGTTCTTCATAGGCAAAATGGCATTTTTCTTGCTTCAGTATCAGCCCTGATGGCTTAATTGCGTCCAGTACCGTCCGGAGCCTTTTCAGGTGGTCGCTAAAGTTGGAGGCGAAAACGACCACATCGTCCAGGTATACGAGACATATTTGCCACTTGAGACCTGCCAGTACTGTGTTCATTAGACGCTGGAAGGTTGCTGGAGCGGAACAAAGTCCAAATGGCATCACTTTGAACTCATACAATCCATCCGACGTGATGAAGGCGGTCTTTTCTCGGTCTCTCATCAACCTGAATTTGCCAATACCCTGTCTTCAGATCAATGGACGAGAAGTACCTTGCATCACTAAGACGATTTAGGGTATCGTCGATCCTTGGTAAAGGGTACACAGTCTTCTTGGTTACACTATTCAACCGTCGGTAATCGACGCAAAACCGAAGACTTCCGTCTTTCTTTTTGCCAAGGATGACTGGTGCCGCCCAAGGGCTTTTCGATGGCTGAATTACATCGTTGTGTAACATTTCCTCAACTTGCTCTCGGATGGCCTGACGTTCACGTGCCGACACACGATAAGGGCTTTGATGGAGAGGGCGGATGTCTTCTTGTGTTATGATTCAGTGCTTTGCCAGATAAGTGTGTCGGACCTGTGAAGAAGTGGCGAAACAGTCGTCATAACGTCGAAGGAGGTTCTGGAGCAGTTGCTGCTTGCATTGAGGCAAGGAAGGGTTAATGTCAAATGACAGCTGCGAGTTGTGGGTCTGTGGGGTGATGGTCGCTGGATTCGAAAGGGCGAGGGTGTCACTGACTTCTGCGATTTCATCGAGAAAGGCAATGGTCGTGCCTTTGGCCAAGTGACGGTGTTCTTGGCTGAAATTTGTTAGCAAAACTGGGCCCTGTCCATTCCGGAAGTCCGCAATGCCTCTTGCGATTGCGATATCACGGCCAAGCAAAAGCTGTATGTTACCTTCGACGACGCCATGAGCATTTTCGGCAGTACCAGTGGTTACGGACATTAGGGTCGTTGATCGGGGTGGGACGCTCACGTCATTCTCGAGCACACGGAGGGCTGCGCGATTGTGTGGTGCCGAGTATAAATTTATGGCTTCATCCGAGGATAGTTTGATGGATCTGGACGCCAGATCAATAACGGCGTGATGTTGAGTCAAGAAGTCCATGCCGAGAATGACGTCACGGGAGCACTGTGGGAGCACCAAGAAAGTGGCAAGGTATGTGTGACCATCGAATGTCACCCTTGCAGTACATCGCCCCGATGGGGTGAGGAGGTGGCCTTCCGCTGTGCGGATCTGCGGGCCGTCCCAAGCCGTCTTAACCTTCTTCAGTTGTGCTGTCAATGGCCCACTGATGACCGAGTAGTCAGCTCCTGTGTCAATCAAGGCAGTTACCGGGTGGCCGTCGATAGATACTTCAAAATCGGTGGCACGTGGGCTGGAGTTGCGCGTTGGTTTTAGGTTCGGGTCACGGCTTCGTCTTGTTGCTTCGTTTTGCTTCGTCTCGCGGCTTGGGTTGTTGTGCGTTGTCGTCGTCGTAGATGATGTGCTGTCGTCATATATGGTCGTCGGTGGAGGGTCTTCGGCTTTTCCTCTTGAAGCAACCTCACCTCCAAAGGTTGCTGGTTTTAGTTTCCCCTACGGGGGCTTGGGCACCTTCTTCGTTCGTTGTTGCACGGTTCGGTGACATGAGGCGTGGGGATGGCAGTGATGGAGAACGGCTGGACAAGTACTCTGTATGGCGCAAGTAGTCTTGGCGCAAGTAGTTTTGTATGGCGCAAGTAGTCTGTATGGCGCAAGTAGGTCGTTGTCCAGGGCGTGGCTGTGGTGCCTGAGATGAGAAGCCATGCAGTCCCATCCGCCTGTAGGGGCAGTGTCGAAGAATGAGGCCGGCCTCACCGCAGTGAAAGCATAGGGGACGGTCATCGGGAGTTCTCCAAGTGTCGCATTTTCTTTGGCTCAGGCGTCTCTCGTATGTAGGGTGGGCGGGTAAGGGCGGACGGCTACTTGGGGCTGCAGCGTACCGTCGAGGACTGGGCTCGTTTCGTCGGGGTGGCCTAGTGTTCACTGCAGCGGTGTAAGTCATTGCTTCGGCCTCTGTTCGAGTCGTCGCTGATGAAGAGCCAAGCGCCTGCTGGACTTCATCACGCACTATGTCCAAGAGAGATGCTCCTTGGGGGGGCTGGGGGGTAGGAGGTAGCAATCGGCGTAGTTCTTCTTTAACCACTTCTCGAATAGC